AATGTAAATGTAATCTAATGACGAATCAGAAAATATTGTACAGTTTTGTAGAACACACACAGAGAGAGAAATAGTATTTCCCATTGGTGAATTCCCCGGTTTTACAGTTTCTGCTGAGATTGTAGAATCACAGAATCATTAAGGTTGGAAAAGACTTCTTCAAGATCACCAAGGCCAACCTTTGACTGAATACCACCATGCCAACAAAGCCGTAGCATTAAGTGTCACATCCAGTTGTTTCTTGAACATTTGCAGGAATGGTGACTCCACCAGTGCCCTGGATAGCCTGTTCCAATGTTTAACCTGCCTTATCAGTGAAAAAAAGAATTCCTGACGTCCAACCTGAATCTTCCCTGGCTGAGCTAAATGGAGGGAGAGAGCATCGACAGGAGCCTCTTACAAAGTCAGAAGCTTCATTCTTGTCTCAGTCTCAGTTTTTCAGGTGCTCACCCACAGAATGAAACTGCAATCTCAGTTTTCAGTTCTTCAAGACCTGGTTTCCCTCTAACATTGTGAAGACAGCAGAAAAGGAGCAGACTGAATGCATGTACTGTTACATGCCAGAAATTAGGAGAATAAGCAAATCCAGACAAGTATGATACTGTCCACTTTGCAGTTTACAGGAGAACTTGTTCCTTCCTACTTCACTCCACGTTGCCAATGTGCCATTGACATACTGGCAGGAAGCCAAATGAAAGTGAAGAGATTCTGGCAGTGCATCTTCTGCTTATGGCAAAAATCTCCCAGTAATCTCATCTCTCAGCCAGGCAGACAGTGCTCAGAACCCACCATAATCAGTTCCGGAGTCAGTGTGTGGGACAGCCTGGGAATGCCATGCTAATGTAGGTCATGGTGAGCGCCACTCTGCTCTGTGTCTCTCGCTCTTGTTTAAAGGGCCACCTAAAAGGCACAGCTGTCCCCAGACTATGGCCACACAATCCCTTCTTGCAATGGGCCAATCCTTCTATTGAGAGTATCAGGGCCCCTACAGTGCTCTCCAGAGTGCTTCCCCTTTAAGACAGGACTGTGCAGTCTTTATTTGCTTGTTGAAACTGTTCAGTTTTAGGACAGGGGGGGAGGTCACACCTGTTGTGGAACTTGATAGAAGGCTTATTTATAAACTTTCAGAGCTTGGGATTCTTGCAGAGCTGAATGCGCTGATGTCCGGAGGGGAAGGTCACCGAAATGCTTGTTTATAAAAGCAGCAGCAACTGGAAAAACCATAAAAGTCTGAAATGATGAAATTACCAAGCTATTTGATCAGGCGCATGGGCTATGTGCTCTGTGGTCAGCCAGAAAAACCTCGCACGTAAGAGTCAACCCTGCTGGCTGCTGCCCTGAATTCTCCTTCAGAGGCGAATGCAGTGTGCCTGAAGAGGGCAAAAAATAATCAGCTGCTTAGTATGGTCTACTTTTGGGTTGCTGGCTGGTCCACTCTTAATTTGACCTTGCATGGAAAGGGGAAAGCCTACTCTGCACTTGGTATCACAGCTAATCCACTCTTTAGTTTCACAACTTCAAAGAGCTATGCCACTTGTTAACATTCAGAGTGTTCTTTTTGCAAGGAGTCAGTCACACCCCAAAAATCTGCCACTATTTGGGGGGGGGAGGGAGAAGAGAGATGGCAGCTTCAGAAACACTTTTGGATTTCTGCAAAAATGTTGCATGAAAGGTGTTGCCTTTTTTGATTGTATGTTTGTGCTACTGTTTGAAAAAACACTTTTTATATTACAGTTTGGGGAGAAGGGGAAGTAAAAACCTTCCCTTGGTTTCAGCTTTAGTTTCTATTCTCATTTTACAGTAGAGTAAATTCAGAATAATTTCCTTTTCTCCTGGTTTTTTTTTTCTCTTTTATTTTTTTCTGTATGTCAAAATCTTCATTTAAGGAAAGCTTCATTTTCACTTGGTGACTGATAGCTGAACAGGTGGCTTCTGAGCTTGCAAGTGTCAGATGAACAGGCAGTTTAGAAATGGACAATTTGCAGCTCACTTTCTCTTGCTGACGACCCTTTTTCTGCTGACAGATTCTTGGTTCTACCAGCCAAATCATGCACACTCTATCTGCCCTCCACCCCTGCTGGAAAAAAAAAAAAAAAAAAAAAACCTTCAAGAGAAAAAAACCTTAAGATGAAAGAAGATGGTCTCTGGGGAACTCCTATCCATAAAATGGAAAGAACTTCACACTTGAAGGCATTCTTGCCAGCTCAGCCTACTTGGACATAATTTATAAGAGGGGCAGGATTTTCTGCTTCATTTTCTTTCCTGGAAATCTTGTTTGTTTTATGGTATTTTTCCACAGAATCCTACATAAAGTGGTGGATGCCAGAACCAGCACCAGTGACTGTCTGCTGAACGTGATGAGTTTATTCAAATACCAGAGCCATCAACCCCACCACATAAAGTCTTTCCTTGACCACAGCTAGAAATACTTTCAACCAGGGGATTCTGACATGTCAATGCCCTTCTGCCTGTTAATTATTAAGACTTTCGATGATTTTAACAAATAGGGCTGTATATAACTTTCTGCTGAGACTCATATATGGCACAGGCATTCCATTTCCAGGAATGTGGGCAGGAGCTGCACAGGTCCAGTCCTGCTGCCTGAGTTGCCAAAAGATTCTCATGCTGTATTTTTACAAGATCATGGGATTTCAGTAATTAAAAAAGATACCAGAGTAACCTTTTTCATAAACTGCATTGCTAGAATATGGATTTACCTAAGGTAGCAGTCACTCTTCTGATGTTTGGTTATGAGTAACTCAAGAGCTGTTTTTTACAGGATCTTAGAGGCTCTTGGTACCAATTTTTCAAAAGGATTTAGATGCCTTTGAAAGATAAGTGCCCAAAGGGGTCTTAAAATTTTCAAGGCAAGCTACATTAAAATCATTTGGATTTATGTGCCTATCTTAAACAGTTTTGATAATCTACAAGGTGCCTATCTGAATATTTAGATAAAGAGAGCACTTTGAAAATATGACACTTACAGACCTGAGGAATTCTAATCTGGAGAACACATCTTGCTGACTTTCAGCGACATTTAAACTCCTAAGCCTCTCTCCAAAGTGAAACTTAGGATCCTAAGTCACTTAAGTGCTTAAAATATGTTGCTATGTGTCTGTAGGAGCTGGATGAGGACAGATGAGGGGAGCAGGATTAGATGAATGCATCTGTCTTTCTGTGTTGCTCTCATAATACTTGAGTGTCTCTGCATATGGATAAAGGTGGATTGATGAGTGCATGACCATATGCATGAGCATATAATATGGCCGATTGGATGGGACAGGGAGGAACAAAAATTGGGTGGAAGTGACAGGTGATTACATGGATAAATAACTTCATCTTGCTGAACATTTATTTAGTGCTTTTCATCCAAAGGTACCCTTAAGTGCCTTACAAACTATTATGGGTATAAGAATGACTCCACCAGCCACAGCAGCTCTTTAAGAGTACACAGCCAAATTATATGATCAAGTTATGACCAGATATGAAGAGTATCAAGTCCCACTGAAATTACCTAGAAATTTTTGGCCATCAGCCATTTAGGATTCAGTCAATACACCCGGGTTAGAGCTGTTATGCAGGAAGAAAGTGCTATGGAAGTTTAACAATGACAAATGGCAAGGACTTAGTTTTCAACACCATTTAAAAATGAGCACTGCCAACAGCATATGAGCTATGGAAACTGGCTCAATATTCAGGCAGAGAGAGGAGTATTGTCTTTCCATGGGTGGCAAAAGGGAAGATGTTTATATGGTATTTTAATGGCGAACAAAATTACAGGAGTTTGTTTTGAAATAAATCTGCATAAAGAGAAAAGAAGCAGAACAATGAATGGATGAGAGATCCAAAGGGGAGAGGGGTTGTTCAGACCTGAGAGGATTTTCAGACTGCCTGTCTGAAGCTCCAAGCCCATGTTCTCACTGAGAGAAGATCCCATCTCTTCCACATTAGCTAACCTGGGCTGTCTCTCTCAAGGGCAGCACATGCACTCCAAAGGCAAGTGGTGCCAGCTGCTCTCTTGCCAAACAGTGGAGTTAAAAGCTGTACAAAGTTATAGACAGTAAACAATGAAACAGAAGCAACAACAGCAGTTTTCTCTGCTGCCTCCACCTTTGTGCCTTGCTGCTTCCCTCTTTCACACTCCTCCTCCTCTGTCTGCCAGAAGGATAAAAGCATGATTGAATCAGTACTCTGTGACAGGCTGGGGAAAAGCAGCTGCCCAGTATACATATTTATTTAAGTACAGTAGGTGAATCAAGACCACGATTATAATACAACATAAAAACTGGGATGTACTGAGCAAATAGGGGAAAATGTGTTCATCTGCTCCTCTATTCTCCTACCTGCTCTTCCACTATCCACAGCATCAAAACAACAAGTTTAATGCTAGTGAGGTAGTGTTGGGAAAGGATGTACCATTTTTGCACAGCTTGCCTCTACAGAAGTTTTTTCCCACCATGAGGATGATTTGGGGAAATGCTGTCATTGCCATGTATAGTTTCTTCACCAGTTTCAAGAGACAGTGACCCACCAAACAGAGCAAGCAAGGGGCTAGCTGTGTACTGCAGCTGCAATAAAGAGCATCCTCCTGTCATGGTGAGTGCTGGTTCTTTGCTGTAGGAGATCTGTCCTTCAGTATGGGCCAGGCTGTACAGTTTGCACAAACAGCACTCCTTGACTTTGGGGGATTCAGGCAATGGATGATGAGTGACTTACAGAACCAGTTTCCAGTAATATGCATTGCACACTATTAGAGGAAGTCCACTGACATCTCTGTGCTGTTCCTTTCCCTTTACCACTTCTTCATCTTACGTGCTCTGTCATTTCCCAGATCCTCCTCAGAGAGCCCTGCTCCCCTGGCATGCTCTCCCTTCCCTGCTGCCAAGCGTCATCACGCCCGCAGCTGTCACCAGTGGTGCCTGAACAGCCACGCTCACTGCCATCCCTGCCCACACCAAGCCTGCCTGCCATCTGCGAGATACTGGGAAGTACTAGCTGTGGCTATGCTGGGACTGGGATCCTTCCCAGGTAACTGTACTTCTGGAGCCCAAGCACACAGGTGGTTATGCTGACAAAAAAATGCTCCTGGAGATATACATTATTTCCTCTGAGGAAGTGGTATATGCTGGCCAGTTGTTCCCAGGCCAGGTAAGTGATGTCAGGGCTGAGAGGTTCTCGTGGCACAGTGGCACTGATACAGCCCTTCCTATACTCAGGTTTAGCTCAAATGCTGTTTATGCTTAGTACTGTTTTCATTGGGTCTCATGACTGGATCATACAAATACTAACTGACTAGTAGCTCACGCTAAGGGATATTTAAATCAGGAAAGGAGGATGATCTCATTTGTGAAGCAATGGCCTGTGAATCAGGAGGTGCAGCTCCAGTTCCTAGCTCTGCCAAGACTCTTTGGCTAGCCTGAGCAAGTCACTTCCTTGGGGCTCCACTGGTAAATGAGAGATACTCCTGTTCCCATTTCCTGCTCTTCCACCGGCAATGCAAGCTTTTCAGGACAAGGACTGTTTCTAGCAATGCAATTGTATGGTACAAAGCACAGTGGGCCTCAGAGTTGGTTGAAGCTTTCATACTAAGATATGAACCTTAATTATAGCAGGGAAAATAAACAAAGCAACAAACATTAAATATGGTTATATTTTTTGGTGAATGCTCAGGTTGCAGTTTTGTGTACCAAAAGGAAATACTTTTTTAAAGTAAGATTTTTAACATTTGCTTTAATCAAAAAAGCTGTAGTTGGGGGAAAACTGATCATAAAAATAAATATCCATGCTTTTGTTCTCCCTTGCCAATTTTTGCCCACTTAGAAGTGCTCTACACTTTTTTGTATGTATTCAGCCACACTGAGACTATAGAAGCGGAGTCCAAGTGCAAAGGGGTTATGTTGGCTTTCAGCTGCCAGACTACATGGGATATGGAAACATTGGAAACAGCTCAGAAAACATAACTTACTCTGCTCTCCTCTCAGTATTTGCTGCATCTGCCTGGAAAGGACCAAGTTTCTTTTGCTTATGTTTCCCAGGGTGCTGGTTAGCAGCCTGTGGCGCCCAATTGAGATGCTGTGGGTTGGTGTTTTGGTCTAACAGTTACAGATATTTTGCCTGCCTCTGGGAAGATTCCACGGTCAGGAACTGGGCCTTCTGCTCTTTGATTTTGCTTTCATTTCTCAGCAGACACATCCTTTGGGCACAAATGGCACTTACTATGTCCATGCAGGAGTGTTTCTGCTACAGCTTCGACTGTTAATGCCTGTGAGCAGACTTCACTCTCCTTGTGAGTAAACAGATCTCCCTGTGCCTTTGAATGTCTGTCAGTGGATGAAATTGTTTTGCTGCTCTAATCAGCATTCTCCCCTGAATTTCTGAACTGGGATGACTTGTGGAGGATTTTGGCAAGCATATTTTACTCACAACTGGCTATATTTCTTTCTCTATTATTTCACTAACTTTGTGTCACGCTTACTGACAAGGGAGATCCACAATGCCTAATGCAAGTGTTTGCATTTGTGTATGTGTCATGACATGTTTGCAACTGTGCATCCTTGTGTTTGTCAGCACATATCAGTATGTGCACCTGTTTAACTGCATTTGGTTTTGCTTCTTGGTTTTGGCTTTCTGTGAGAATCTATGAACATTATCTTTTTCACCCCAGAAGTGGACCTTTTTCCTGGGGTGTGTGTGTGTGGGTGTGTCGGTGTGTGTGTGTGTGTGTATATATATATATATGAAGTGTTCCTTCTGTATTTGTTTTGCTTTTTGTATGTTCCCTTGCAGTTGTGTTGAGATGCTCATGCAGGCATGTTTGAGTATAGTTGTGCATTGATATTTGTTTCGAGTCGTGTGTCTTTTCCCACGTGTGTAATTCCCTGTCTCTGTCTCTGCGCTTCCCTGTATTTTCTTTCCATTTCCCCATCTATGGTGCATGCAGTTACCTGGATTTGTGCATGTATGTATCTCCCTGCTTTTATTATCTGAGGGTTGTATTTTTAATGGGGTGGGTGCTGGTAAAATTGTTCGTCATTTTGCTTTGTATTTATCTTTCAGTGTTTTCCCTATGTTTGCATAAAGCAGAGGCAGACTACAATTTGGTGATGAATTCTATGAATACTAATCTTAGGCTACCCTTGACCCTAGGGTCAGCTAAAGATCAAAACCAAACCATTTAATATTTTCCTTTTGCAGATCAATAGAAGCATAAATTCACTCTCAATGACAACTATAATTTCAAACAGATCTATAGGAGGCATGCATGCATTTCCAGGATGAGCTGCTCATGCGCCTGTTAGGGAGCACAAGAATAAGAGTTTCTCTGTTGTTGTGGGTTTGGGGGTTGTTTTTACCATTGAATCTCTTTTGCCTTTTTTCTTTTATTGCTCTGAAATGCTATTTTCAGCAGTGCCTGTCATATAAATATCTCTTGTTTTTCTTCTCCTCTTTCCCTCCTAGTGAAAAGGGCAGGGGACCTATTGAAAATTCTGCTTTATCTCTTTCAGGAGAGTTCAAGTGCGGGTCGAACAATCGATTCCTCCTCCTTTTCTTTTTCAAGTTTCCTGTCGTTCTTTTGCCCAGATCAGCACTGAAGGAAAATAGGAAGGGCAGCCTGGAGTATGTACATCTATACATCCAGTGACAGAAAGGGAGAGCATGCAAGTGTGCATTTATGAACATTTATAAATTTTTTTTACATATATAGCATATATATATATATATGTATATATATATATTCACACTCATGTGCAAACATATACATACATATTTTTTCCTGTAGCTGTCTGTATGTCACAAACTTCTGACATATTCTTACAGTAAAACTATTGCAGAGATAGAAGAAAAAAAAGGTTGAGAATGGGAAAAGTTTGGAAGTACTGTTCAGTTCTGAACTAGAATATTAACCCTTCCAAAAATTCTCCTCTCCTCTTTCAAAGAAATGTGTTAAGATCCCAGAGAGTTCCTACAATTTTCCACGGATGGGGGGGGGGGGAAAGAAGGGTTATTCTTCACGCAGCATTGTTTCAGAAAAATAAATTCAGCTGATAATCCAAATCTTTAAAGATACATTTAGTCTAAAAAGGGTACTTCTCAAACATTTTTACCAAATCAAAGTGGCAGGAGGGGAATGGGGTTGGGGGGGGGGGGGGGAGAAA